TACTCGAGACGAAGGCTAATCAAGGCATCCGGTTCTGTATGTTTTTGTCTGTTGAAGAAATGAAATCTGTTTGTTAGTATAAATAAATATATCTATCGATTTCTTCTTTCAATAATAAATACGCTTACTAATAACAATAACAATGAAAGCACGCTTTAAATAGCTTTAGGTACGATTATTATTATTGTTATTATCATCGTTGTCGCTATTTCATATACGATCTTTTGAAATATTTGCTATGAATATTATGATTCAACAATGAATTGATCGATCTTTCAGTTTTTGAGAAATGTTTGTTCTTTATCAATTATATTTTCTAGGAAAAAAAATAATCGATTATCGAAAATTATATGATCGGATAAATTATTTGTTCAATTAATTTTATCCTATAAAAATATAGATAACTAGATCAATACGATCCTTACGCTTGCATATCTTTTAGTATTTTTATAAGACATTCAATTACTAATCAATGTATTCTGTAACAATGAACAAAATATTCATAAATACTATCAAATGTAAAACATTATAAATTAGGCTCACTGTAGCCTCGTTTGTTGGACTTTTAGAACAAAGACCTATATGAAATCATTTATAGTTATAAGAAAAGAGAATGAACAGCTATTTGGAGTATTTCCTCTATCAATCGAAAGTATTGAATTCTTTTCTGATCTATTTTATTAATATTAATTCATGCTGTCTATCGTTTTACCATATTTCTTTTTTCTATATTCCTCAGTAAATATCTTCTTTTTTAGAAGAAAAACTAAAGAAATAGTTTCAAAAATCTGTTATCAATTGTATTCATTAAGTGAATGAAATTGAAGAATTTCTATACATCAAACTTATATGACTCATATACGTCATCAAAATATTAATTTTAAATTAATACTTCATGTTGAAAGCAAATGAATCTTTGTTGATGAATTTAATTTTCGACTCTACATTGACACTATATGAATCAGGATTTCCAGATCAAACAGTTGCAAACTGAATTTTTCTAATATTATTATGTATATGTTAACTTTCATTTTTAATGAAAACATATCGTCTCTATTAACTATTATGTCTAGTAAAGGAAAATACAATATTCATTGTATTATTAGAAATAGTTATTTAAATCAAAACATATAATTAATCGAAAATATATTTTCTTTCGATAAACTGTTTCATATGTTATTCTTTTATATGGATTGAGATAAGTCTTTTACAGTTACATTCAATAAGACTTAGAGAGAATGCTTGTTAGCCTATCCATCACATTTACTTAAACATTCTCTATGTTTGCCAGTGGATTTTATAATTGTCATACTTTTCAATGTGTGTTTAAAAGAAAATGTTTTCTTGTATTTTTGCCTTCGATTCATATGTTAACATTGATTTCAAACTGAATATAAAAAGATTTTATAATCACTGACAAATAAAACTTGATTAGCTTTTAAGAGTACGTCTCTGAGAAAACCAGATGATCGCGATAATTCGACATCACAGATTTCGCTGATTTTTTTATGCTATAGGTAATAGTGAGGTAAGTACTAGATAAAATTTTCAACTCAATCGGATCACTTCTTCCTACCGAAAAAGTCAATACACGAGCAGATTTTTTAATATCTGTTAATTTCGATTTTTCAGCGATTTTTATGGAATATTCTTGAACGAAGATGTCTTGTTGATGTGATAACTATAAGAGACTTTGATCAATCTACAAAAACCTTTAACATATCAATAAGAACATCACTCTTCCTTGTCTCTCCAAACTGTCGAGCCTATATGTCGACCACTCATATTTTACGCGCCAATAAACAGTCGTTCTAATATTTATACTGGTGATAGAAGACCCCAAGATCTATCACTTAGAATACCGAAAAATGGGTGGGTATTGGTGTGGGCGGACCTGGGGTTGGGTGTGAGTGTGGTTACTTTACATCCACACACGCATTCTCACACTTACACACACCCGAACTGTTTTATTTATTTAACTATTACACTTATTCGCCAGTTTTAATTCACTTACATCTTTTGACACTAAAGACATTCAGGATTACTCTTTTCTTTTTCTTTATTGCAAACACTCTTCGAACATCGTTCGTTTTTAACTTGTTTTTTCCTTTAGATCATTATTTTTTACAATAAAGTGAAACCGGTCGAAAACAAACAAATTCTCTTATTTATTTAACTATTACACTTACTCGACAGTCTTGGTTCACTAGCATCTTACAACACTAAAGACATTCAGGATTGCTCTCTCGCATTTTTCTTTATTACACACCCGTCCACACCCACACCCACATTAATTTGAAGCCGGTGAAGTTGTTTTAACACATACAAAGAGTATTTGGAATAAAGTACGACCAGCGATAGTTCTTTCATCTGACTATCATAACAGTTTAACAAATGCTACTTTCTGAATTGTACCAATTACATCGACATTAGTGAACAGTGCAATTTAGCGATTTCGTATATCTCCTCCTGATACTATTAAGCAAATGGTGATAAAAAGAAGATCAATAATCTTACTTGATCATCTATTGTTTCCCCGGTCGATGATCCTTGAAGTAGTATTCCATGAGTTTTCGGCAAAAATCCTCAGGAAACTCACCGTTTCTGGCAAAAACCCAGCTATAAAATGCCAATAATTCAACCCTGAAATTGTTTTCGGGTAGAACCGAACGGATCCGTTCAGCGGGAATACTGCTTCCATGAAATCCCCGGAATATTACGAAACTAGCCGTTTCCGTACTGGATTGTTCTACTTGGAATACGTAGAAAAAAAAACAAATCAGTGCCAAGTAAAGACGGTAAAAATCATTTTTGTATTTTATAAACTACTAACTTCATATCTTATTTATTTTAAGACATTGATATAGCTAAAAAACGATTTGAAGCATACAAGAAACAAAATCTCGTTCGTAAAATTTATTAAAATAAACTTTGCTTTAATCCTTTTCTTTTTAGATCGATTATGAATGTAATGAACCTATTATTCCGAATTGGGAGTATATTGATAATGAAATATATATGATTTCGATCAGTTCAACTATCAGTAATAATTTAGAGAAGAAATGAATCTTATGAATAATATGGGCTATTCGAATTTTCCATTTTATTCTAATTGAACATCTAATCCAACGTAACTCTATATTAGCATCAACTAGTGACGTAATGCTGTAGCTAACTTATTTGCTTATTGATCTCTCTCTCTCTCTCTTCCTCTCTCATATTGTGCAGAGAGTAGAGGTTTCTCTGATCTCGTTCTCTTCCTCTTGTATATATATATATATACACGAAAAATCTCCATTTAACTTCAGAAGTTCTTCATTTATTCATTTTCTTTCTTTGTTTTTCTTTTTTTACCTTTGTTATTAATATATATATATATATTGTTTACGACCTCTTTGTGATTGATATAAATAAAGAATAAATAATTAGATCTTCAAAGCCTTTTTTCATTATGTAACAAATTAAATTCAACTATCAATATAAATCTCTCATACATAACCTTAGAAGCACAGGTGAAATAGATTTATTCTCTGATCAAAACTAATACAGTACAGGTAGGAAATTAATAAGGAAGGGGGGGGGGTGTAATATTATATACAGACTCAGATTTCGAGAGATTATCATCTTGCTTACGTATCAACGTAGTCAGGAGAATTACGTATAGAATCCAAAACCCATCTTGAGGATGTGGGTATGAGTGAAATATATTAGATATGCACATTCATGCCCACACCCTAATATTTAGGAAAAATGTACTATTCATCTGATTAACTCCTGCTACTTATACATTTGAGGATAAATATGTTACCATTTAATGAAACTTTTATATAGATTGAAATAAGTCTCTCACACTTACATTCAATGAGACTTAGAGAGAATGTTTGTTAGCCTATCCATCACATTTACTTGAACATTCTCTCTCTCTTTGCCATTGGATTTCATAATTGTCATACTTCTCAATATGTGTTTAAAAGAAAAACTTTTCTTGTATTTTTGTCTTCGATTCATATATTAACATTTATTTCAAAATGAATATAAAAAGATTTCAAAATTACTGGCAAATAAAACTTGATTAGCCCTTAAGGATTTTCTTCTTCTCAAAATAACTTTACCTAATAATATTTTATTTCAATAATTTAAAACAAAAACGACAAAATCAAAGTCAGACTGAATATGACTCAATTATAAATGTCCATAAATTAAAGAAACTATATGAAGACTATACTACTTCGACTCCTCTACTTATCCACATTGAGATGATGCGTCTCCTATGCATTTAACAGATCCACCCATACCATAGTAGTCCCTACTATTTTTTGTTCTCGCTAGTAGAGCACATCAGAATCTGAATTACTTTGTAGTTCATTCCCGCATTTAATCGATCAAACAAATAAAAATGGTAATCAATAACATTTAATTAACTGTATAGAAAATGTATATTTTTCATGTGCTAATTGAACAACTCTTTCAAGGATGTACGATCAAGAGGAGAAATGCAAGATGAAATGATAGTTTATTTTAACTAAGCAAAACAAGAGAAAGGTAGTGAAGATGGATAAGTGGATATACATTCATCATAAATATTTTAAAAGATATCAATCATTCTTTTTTTGAATAAGAAAAATAACAAGAATAGATTATTTATTTATAGATTGAAGGAGAAAGAAAAAAAAACGTTTCTTTTTAAAAAAATTAAGTTTTTTTTCTTTTTTTCTGATCTATTCCACTTTCACCTATGTGCCATGTGACAAACGTATTTGATTTTGTTTGTTTTCAGATTAAAGTACTCCATTTTTGTCTCGTCATTCAAAAAATAAAGTCATATGTCCGTTAGATAGGCGTATCCACCAAAGATTGTTGTTGGAAGGCAAAATAAAAATAGTTTGGATCATTGTTACCAACGGTATTGTTCGGTAGATACTAATTTAACTGATCTGACATTACGGATGTTTTCATGTAAAATCTCATTTTTGAAATTCAAAATTTCAGATTAATTTATAATGGGTGTTACTGTTTCACAAAATCATTCTCATCTGCCAATGCGCTCAACTATCAATCAATGGGTATGTTATGTTCAAAATGTTCTTTTAACAATACAACAGGAATAGAACAGTACGATGAGAGTGATTATTATTGCTGTTCCATTTCTATTTATCAAATTGTATATGACGAAAAAAAATCTTATTGCTATCATTATCGTATAGGCTTTCAAGGGCCCATCAACTTGGCATTGTACTTTTTGTACATCGAGAAATCAAAACGATCGTCGATATTGTAATATCTGTGGTAAACCGAAAATTATACTGGTATACGATTTTTTTTCTGAAAAAAATATGATTATTATCTTTTTTTTTCTCTCTCTTTTTAGAAACATCAAGAATCGAAAACTGTCAATAGAAAATCAATAGCATCTATGAGACCCACGTCAGTTTCAGTTCGTACTCGACGTAATGAGGATAAATTGGATGCAGAAAATATATTTAGACATATAATCCTTTTTTGTCATCAGGTAAAAAAAGTAAATCTTGTATAATAAATATTTATAAAATATTCTGTTTTGAAGAATAACGTTTCATTTGTGGATGATCAATTTCCTCCTTCATTTCAATCATTGGGTGCACATGTCAGTGGCAATGTTACAAAATGGCTTCGAATATCTGAAATATCACCTTCTTCTTCTACTGACCATTATGTACCATGGACAATATGTTGTTCAACACCACAACCAAGTGATATCCAACAAGGAGATTTAGGTAATTGTTGGTTATTAGCTGCTTTATCTCTTATAACTGAACGACCATCGATGCTTCGACATATTCTTCTTACACAAAAAGTTAATCCTGAAGGTGCTTATCTTGTACGACTTTGTCATAATGGTTTATGGAAAACA